TTTGGTTCCCATCGGCTAACAAAATCACCAGACTTTTCAAAACTCCCAAATCTCGAGGAATTGATATTGGGATACTGTGAGAGTTTGTCTGAGGTTCACTCATCCATCGGGGATCTTGGAAGACTTTCTTTGGTAAATCTTGCACGCTGCATAAGGCTAAGGGATCTCCCACTGAATTTCTATAAATCCAAGTCTATTGAAACTCTTATACTGACTGGTTGTTGGAGTCTTAAAAAGTTGGCTGAGGGCTTAGGGGACATGGTATCATTGACAACTCTGAAAGCGGATCGGACAGCCATAAGACAAATACCATCTTCCATATTAAAATTGAAGAAACTGAAAGCTTTATCTTTATGTCGTGTGAAAGGGTCGCCATCAACAAATCTTTTGCCTCCTTCATTGCAAAGTTTAAGCTCTTTAAGAGAATTAGCTCTTGCAGACTGGAGTTTAACCGATGATGCATTCCCCAAGGATCTCGGTAGCTTAATTTCCTTAGTATATTTAAATCTTAACGGCAATGACTTTTGCAGCCTACCAAGCCTCAGTCGTCTTTCACAGCTTCAAGATTTGTCTTTACATAAGTGCAGCGTGATTCGGGCAAACTCACTGAAATTCCAGGCCTGGATAAGTCATTAAACTCCATGACAAGGATTCATATGGAAAAGTGCACTAATCTCACTGCCGATTTTAGGAAGAACATCCTCCAGGTCAGTCCTTCTCTATCTCTCTCTCATACATCTTTCTCTTTCTATCTGTTAGTTTAAGAGAAAAGAGGTTTAGAGAATGGTTGGTAGTGTTTAAGACAATAGCTTAATTTGGAATGGAAAACTTTTCAAAGACGAACAAGGTAGTTTTTATTCTATTGATTGAGGTAGGAAAGGTTGAAGGCTTTAATACTTGAGTTTGATGATTGCATTAATTGGACAGCTGTAGTTTTCCAGCTTACATTTTTGTATAGGCATCAAGCCTATATATAGGAGACTTAACCGACAGTAGCTTAGTCGGTGAGATTAGCTCTTTGAATATTTTATATTATAGCACACTTTGATCTCTCAGATTTTTTGTATTCACCGACTTTGTTAAGTCGGTTTGCACATTCATTAAAATTCTAGACTTTTCTATATCATTCAAGACTTTTGTATACTATTTAAGGTACAATTGTGCATTACTTTTTAATATTGTCTCATACAACGCACATGTGGATAATCCGGATCGTCATTTGTATGATTTGGAAACAAATCGGGATTTTTTCAGGGGAGTTGATGACTCGTTGGATCCTCATTTGTATGATTTGGGTTTAGGAAATCTACTTCAATGATTTGGTGATGACTCAAAAGAGAGAGCCACGCAGAGACCACCACCTGTCCCAAGGCCCCACATGTCACATTCTAGTGCACTCTTCACTTTTGTAGGTAGCAGACACGTGTCAACATAAGCAGCAACATGCTTCACACCTCCTTCACACAAAATAAAATACTCATGGATTGTAGAAAATAATTAGAGCAAAAGGTTGTGCCGATATTCTACGATGTGGAGGCTACGGATGTGAGGAATCTGACTGGTTGTTTTGCAAAGGCATATTTCAGGAGCATCTGACTGGTCCTTTTCGTTCTTTTCCTTTTTCTTTTTGCCAACTCTGTTTTGGTAATATTTTATGTTCTTTTATGTGAAAATATTTGGGAATTTCTGTGTTTGTATTCTTCTCCCCTTATGGGATATTTATATTATATGAGATAGCTCTTCTCAAATTGCAAGACGGTGATAAAGTCTTGATTGAAATTACAGGGAGCTTCACATTTAAGCCCAAATATTCAATAGACTTACCAATACAAACAACCCTCGAAAATTGTACAATTTAAAAAACTGCCATTGCAATAATATTACTAGATACCCTTGATGGATTTGATTTCACTGTTCATAGCCAATCTCCAATTTGCACTCTTCACAGCTTCCTCAAAATGCAATGGATCAGTTGACTCCACTAATTCCATATGAACTTCATCCTCAGATAGACCTTCACCACTAACATAATCGCCCATCCACGTAGGAGGTTGCCTTTCATGAGATTGCCTCAACTCCCTCACTCTCTCTTCACCCTCACTGGAACTATCTTCCTCTTCTCTAACTTCCGTATCACGAGTCCCTCCTACCTCTCCATCAGTATTTTCTCTATTCCCATTTTTCACTCACCCCTTCTTCATTCTCACCATCACCATCACCATCACCCCATTCTAAGTCTACTACTATTTGTTTTTCATAACTCACATCCCAATCCCATTCCTTTTCTTCTTCAAAGATTACATCTTTACTCACAACAACTTTCTTAGCAACAGGATCAAATAGCCTGTAACCTTTTGACTCCTCACTAACTCCCAATAACACACAGGTAATGCTTCTATTATCAAGTTTAGTCCTCCTTTCTTATGGAACATGAACATGTGCTATGCAACCAAAGACCTGAAAATGATCTACTAAGGGTTTCACTCCACTCCAAGTCTCCTCTGGTGTAACATCTTTGACCGCCAATGTAGGACACCTATTTAGGACATGAATAGTCCAGTTCACTGCCTTCGGCCAAAAATTCTTGGGAATGTTCTTGTCAGATAGCATAGAACGAACCATGTTCATCACGGTTCTATTTTTCCTTTCAGCTACACCGTTCTGTTGCGGAGTATAAGCGGTGGTCAACTGCCTCTTGATCCCACTTTGTTTGCAAAAATCATTGAACTCATTTGAATTGAATTCTCCTCCTCTATCAGTGCGAAGACACTTAACAAATAACCCTGTTTCCTTTTCAACCATAGTCTTAAAGCATTTAAAAGAATTAAAAGCCTCTGACTTCTCTACCAAGAAATACACCCATGCCTTTCTGCTATAATCATCAATAAATAACAAAATGTACCTCTTGTTGCTATTAGATGTAGGAGTGATCGGACCACAAATATCTGCATGAATAAGTTCCAACTTCTGAGTTGCTCTCCAAGTACTCTTCTTTGGAATAGGGTCACAGTGTTGCTTCCCGTTGATGCAATCGGTGCATGTCACACTTGAGGCAGAGAGTTGAGGAAGTCAATGATGTGGACGGTATCTTCTTCTTTGAAGTTCCACAAAAAATCATGGGTCGTGATTTAAAAGGGTTGACTTTATGCTTCGTTTACTCTTCAGACAAACATTATCCGGGATTTGAAGATTCTCAAAGTCTTATTGGCATTGAAGTTAGAAATCTTACCAAACAAACTGCTTTGCACACCAAGATAGCAATTGCCTCCTCAAAACCTTGGAGTAGACCTAAAGACCATTATCTTTGGCAGGGACAATTGTCAAACGATGTGCTCCATTTGGAAGGCGGTGACCACGTATCGATTCTTGTAAGGCCTGATGATATTGATTTTGTGAGAGTGAAGAAGACAGGGGTTCATCTAGAATGGGACAAAGTCATGAAGGAAAATATGGATAATTCGGATCCTCATTTGTATGATTTGGAAACAAGTCGGGATTTTTCAGGGGGAGTTGATGATGCATTTGTTCCCAATCAAACTAGTGTTATACATGAACAATTAGCAGTGGAACCATATCCATATTTGGATTTTTTTGGGGGAACTGATAATGAGGCGGGACGGAGCCATGACACAGGGCCGGATGAGGGAGCAGGACGGAGCCATGACACATTTGTTCGGACTAATCAATCGAGTGCTGTGGATGGACAATTAGCAATGGAGTTGATGACTCCATTTCAAGAAATTGTACCATACTGAGCAAGCCATCAATGTTGGAGGAAGAAGAAGCCATGATGAAGCAGAGAGAAATTCCAATCTTATTTCTATATTTCTTAATCTTTTAAGCTACAGCACGTTATACAGCTGTCTAACTAATTCACATACACTACTGACAACTCACGTGCCTTGCACACCTACCTCACCCCTGAATTAGACCAACACCTCAATGTCGGTTAAAACAACACCACTTGCAAAAACTCCAGTGTGGAGACATCTCCATCCCCTTTTTTGGGCTGTGGAGAAGAGGAAGGAGCCGAGTGGAAGGTTTGGTAAGATGACCCAAGTCTATTACAACGTTACAAATTTTAGTAGGAAATCTACTTCAATGATTTGGTGATGAGATGACTCAAATGAGAGAGCCACGCAGAGACCACCACCTGTCCCAAAGCCCCACATGTCACATTCTGGTGCACTCTTCACTTCTGTAGGTAGTAGACACGTGTCAGCATAAGCATCAACATACACTTCACACCTCCTTCGCACATGAAACATCACAAACCACCCGTGCACAAAATTAGAGGTATATATACGAGATAGCTCTTTACAAGGCTGAATAATACATGAGTTGAATTTAAGCCCAACCGTAGATCCCAAAATATAGAAAAATTCTATGCAATCCAAATTCTATAAAACAGCCCAGTTGTAACTTGTACTATTCAATGGACTTACCAATACAAACAACCCTTGAAAAATTGTACAATTTAAAAAACAGCCACTGCAATAATATTACTAGATACCCAAACACAATTTTTCAAACCTGCCCAGCCCACTTTGTTACAAAAATACCCATTACAAAACTGACAAAAAAACATGATATCTTATGCTTTTGGCCCTTGATTAGAACCTCCTTTGTCTTGATATCCATCTTTCATACAACTGCATCATATATAGTCCTTTGACACACTGCAATATTTATATCTATATCAACTTTTTAATAGAAATTTAATGCATTATTTTTTCGTTTAGAAAACTATTGGTAGATAATGTGATTACAATAATTTTGTAATCTTTTTACACACTATATGTCTCCATTTTTCTTTAACTTGTAATATTAAATTTTAAATCCATACAGCTACAATATGATGTTAAGGATAAACAGAACATTTTAATAAGTAGAACATTTTATAATTTTTTTTATCAAGTAGAAACTTCATTAGATAAACTTCAACGGTACAATCAAAGACATCAATAAGACATTTAAAATACCAATTCCAAGAAGGCAACAAACTAACATGCTAAAAGTAAAACTAACGAGAACAAAAGCCGCACTAAAACTATTAACCCACATCACCATAATTAGCTATAAGCCCAAACAAAGCACATAAACCCAACATAACCAAAACTCTAAAACAACCCATGAGCCTAAACGAACCCTACCACTACTACCTGAAGAAGTGTTGTGGCAGCCACACCCACCACCGCATCCGCAACAGAGGAGGGGGAAATATAATTTTCAGTGATCTATCTGCGCATAAGAGCGAACAAATAAATGAAAATAACAACTTTACCAAAGAACAATTAGGTGATTTGCAGCAACCTCCGTTAAAGATGATGTATAAACAAATTTAGAGAACATAAGCAGCGTTAGGATTTGATTGAGAACATAGACTAAAGGGGTAATGGGGAACTTCAATCTAATCATGGCTTAAAAGAAACCACCAAAATGAGCTTTTTATCCAAAACGCCCTAGTGGAATTTTTCACTAACCTAAAAGGAAAAGACGAGAAGAGATGAGGGGGAGGAGGGGCAGTAATGCTTCTTCCTCCTCCCGCCTCTATGGAATTTTCCTTTAAGACTCACAGAGGGAACGAGCAGCTATGATTTTGAAGATGATACCTCGTGAACATTTTATAATTTAAGTCCTCATTCAATGGTCATTCCAAAAAATAGTCATCGAAAACTATTTAATCATCTAAAATGTGCAAAAAGAATATATAAACTAACTTGCACATATCTCTTCCAACATTCAGATCTTTGGGATTTATCTGGTGAAAGACAAGCAAAATCCAACTCTTGACGACGTGTTGGGACCAGGGAGTAACATGGTAGCTGCTGGCAATTGCATGTACGGGAGCTCTTGCACGGTACAAACAATCAACTCTCTCTCCTTTATGTTCTGAAAATTTTATCCAAATTTTATATCAGCATTATTTGTCTTACTCTTCCCTCACGTTCTAATAAGATAGTTTGTTTGGAACTGCAGCTGGTGATTAGTACTGGACATGGAGTGAACGGCTTCACGCTTGATCCGTCTCTTGGGGAGTTTATATTAACTCACTCCAATATTAAGGTACATACATACGTATTAGGTACGGTCTCAACCAGGGACGGACCCAGGAATTTGATGTCGTAGGGTCATAGTGTAAAAGTTCAATTTTTTTTTTAAAGATTAATATAACATTGAAAATGAAACTACAGTACATTCATTCATAATTCATGTAAAAAACAACATTACAAATTACAATTGGCCACGACGAGGTTTCATATTTTGAAAACGAAGCATTATAGCTTCATTTTCAATACAATCAAAAACATCCTTCTCAACATAAACAAGTAAGCTATCACTCAACCATTGATCTCCCATTTTGTTCCGAAGTGGACCTTTGATAATATTCATGACGGAAAATGCCCTCTCAACTGAAGCAGTAGCAACCGGTAAAACTAGAGCCAATGTAATAAGCAAATACACATAATTGAATGCTCGATGCATCCTTGTCTCCACCATTTTTTTAATATTCATGACGGAAAATGCCCTCTCAACTGAAGCAGTAGCAACCGGTAAAACTAGAGCCAATGTAATAAGCAAATACACATAATTGAATGCTCGATGCATCCTTGTCTCCACCATTTTTTTAATATTCATGACGGAAAATGCCCTCTCAACTGAAGCAGTAGCAACCGGTAAAACTAGAGCCAATGTAATAAGCAAATACACATAATTGAATGCTCGATGCATCCTTGTCTCCACCATTTTTTTAATATTCATGACGGAAAATGCCCTCTCAACTGAAGCAGTAGCAACCGGTAAAACTAGAGCCAATGTAATAAGCAAATACACATAATTGAATGCTCGATGCATCCTTGTCTCCACCATTTTTTTAATATTCATGACGGAAAATGCCCTCTCAACTGAAGCAGTAGCAACCGGTAAAACTAGAGCCAATGTAATAAGCAAATACACATAATTGAATGCTCGATGCATCCTTGTCTCCACCATTTTTTTAATATTCATGACGGAAAATGCCCTCTCAACTGAAGCAGTAGCAACCGGTAAAACTAGAGCCAATGTAATAAGCAAATACACATAATTGAATGCTCGATGCATCCTTGTCTCCACCATTTTTTTAATATTCATGACGGAAAATGCCCTCTCAACTGAAGCAGTAGCAACCGGTAAAACTAGAGCCAATGTAATAAGCAAATACACATAATTGAATGCTCGATGCATCCTTGTCTCCACCATTTTTTTAATATTCATGACGGAAAATGCCCTCTCAACTGAAGCAGTAGCAACCGGTAAAACTAGAGCCAATGTAATAAGCAAATACACATAATTGAATGCTCGATGCATCCTTGTCTCCACCATTTTTTTAATATTCATGACGGAAAATGCCCTCTCAACTGAAGCAGTAGCAACCGGTAAAACTAGAGCCAATGTAATAAGCAAATACACATAATTGAATGCTCGATGCATCCTTGTCTCCACCATTTTTTTAATATTCATGACGGAAAATGCCCTCTCAACTGAAGCAGTAGCAACCGGTAAAACTAGAGCCAATGTAATAAGCAAATACACATAATTGAATGCTCGATGCATCCTTGTCTCCACCATTTTTTTAATATTCATGACGGAAAATGCCCTCTCAACTGAAGCAGTAGCAACCGGTAAAACTAGAGCCAATGTAATAAGCAAATACACATAATTGAATGCTCGATGCATCCTTGTCTCCACCATTTTTTTAATATTCATGACGGAAAATGCCCTCTCAACTGAAGCAGTAGCAACCGGTAAAACTAGAGCCAATGTAATAAGCAAATACACATAATTGAATGCTCGATGCATCCTTGTCTCCACCATTTTTTTAATATTCATGACGGAAAATGCCCTCTCAACTGAAGCAGTAGCAACCGGTAAAACTAGAGCCAATGTAATAAGCAAATACACATAATTGAATGCTCGATGCATCCTTGTCTCCACCATTTTTTTAATATTCATGACGGAAAATGCCCTCTCAACTGAAGCAGTAGCAACCGGTAAAACTAGAGCCAATGTAATAAGCAAATACACATAATTGAATGCTCGATGCATCCTTGTCTCCACCATTTTTTTAATATTCATGACGGAAAATGCCCTCTCAACTGAAGCAGTAGCAACCGGTAAAACTAGAGCCAATGTAATAAGCAAATACACATAATTGAATGCTCGATGCATCCTTGTCTCCACCATTTTTTTAATATTCATGACGGAAAATGCCCTCTCAACTGAAGCAGTAGCAACCGGTAAAACTAGAGCCAATGTAATAAGCAAATACACATAATTGAATGCTCGATGCATCCTTGTCTCCACCATTTTTTTAATATTCATGACGGAAAATGCCCTCTCAACTGAAGCAGTAGCAACCGGTAAAACTAGAGCCAATGTAATAAGCAAATACACATAATTGAATGCTCGATGCATCCTTGTCTCCACCATTTTTTTAATATTCATGACGGAAAATGCCCTCTCAACTGAAGCAGTAGCAACCGGTAAAACTAGAGCCAATGTAATAAGCAAATACACATAATTGAATGCTCGATGCATCCTTGTCTCCACCATTTTTTTAATATTCATGACGGAAAATGCCCTCTCAACTGAAGCAGTAGCAACCGGTAAAACTAGAGCCAATGTAATAAGCAAATACACATAATTGAATGCTCGATGCATCCTTGTCTCCACCATTTTTTTAATATTCATGACGGAAAATGCCCTCTCAACTGAAGCAGTAGCAACCGGTAAAACTAGAGCCAATGTAATAAGCAAATACACATAATTGAATGCTCGATGCATCCTTGTCTCCACCATTTTTTTAATATTCATGACGGAAAATGCCCTCTCAACTGAAGCAGTAGCAACCGGTAAAACTAGAGCCAATGTAATAAGCAAATACACATAATTGAATGCTCGATGCATCCTTGTCTCCACCATTTTTTTAATATTCATGACGGAAAAAATGGGGAGGGCAGCTGATCTCTTTTTTTTTTAAAAGGCCTGGACCAAAACAACGTCGTTTTGGCCAGGTCTTTTAAAAAAATTTCGGTGCTGCTGGTCCAAAACGACGCCGTTTTGGTGCCAGCGCATTAAAAAAAAAATTCGCTGGGTTCAAAACGACGCCGTTTTGGATCCAGCGGTTTTGAAAAAAAAAAAACAGACTTGCAGCTCCCCTGTTCATCTTCTTCTTCCTCAGATTTGCAGCTCCTCCTTCAGCCATTCATGGGGTCACACACAGGTTCAAAGGGACCTTCTACCTTACGTTCATGGAGTCCATAGGGTCGTTTGACCCCATTGACCCCACTGTGGGTCCGTCCCTGGTCTCAACTTGTACACAAATTTCTAGTGTTATTTTTATTATACATATTTCTTGAGCTCCTCTGCTGTGATATGAGGTGAAGGGTGCACCCTTTTGTTATGAGCTGAAGGTGCATATACGTACAGGATTCCGAGCCTCTACTTTTAGAGTCTGCATTTCCTTGCATTACACTCAACCTCGGAATCCTCCATATATGACGACGAATTGAAGGCCATGCTTTACTCTGCAGATTCCACAGAAGGGAAAAATCTACTCTGTAAACGAAGGAAACGCTCAAACCTGGGATGACCAAACTGCCAAGTATGTTCTGGTTATTTTCCTATTGAGAATTTTACATTGCAAGTAAGTGAAATAACCAAATAAAAAGTACCATAATTGATACTTTTATCTTGCAGATATGTGGAAAAATGCAAGTTCCCAAAAGATGGTTCATCTCCAAAGTCTCTTAGATACTTTGGAAGGTATAATTCAGTAATGAATGTTTTGTTTGCACACCATTTTCTCTCTGTTCCTGCCTTTTGCTCCGGTACTGCAATGCATCTATTATCTACTTTTACCCTACTAATTGGGGCAATAAACTTACCTGCCATAGCTCTCATCATTACGTGAGGAGAGGCATATACAGGCGTGTCGCTATTGGTACTTTAAAGCCTAACATAAATTCTTATAAAGCTATGAAATTCGCTTGAAGTCAATTTTGGCACAAACAAGTTGTTCCTGTGAAACAAAAATATATATATTAAAAAAGAAAAAAGAAAAAAGAAATCCCTCAGTCTCTTTTGATGACTATTTGGAATTGTTCCCAATTTTCATTTGGTGCAGCTTCTAAAAGCTTTGCCCTGGACGACCCTGGCTTAGTGATGAACCTCCTCTCTCCTCATTCTTTGGTTTTTCTTGTTTTGACGCACGTGAACCTCCAGATGACCCTTGACGATGGTTTTCTCTCATTTCTTCAATCTGCGGATCCCATATATACTGTCAGAAAAATAATTTTGACTAATTAATACTAATTTTTTTTGACAAACTAATTAATACCAATTAGCCCAAAAAAAAAAAACTGTGGTTTTAAATTTTCAGTTTTTTTTATTTTTTTATTTATACAAGCGATATATTAAGAGAGAGGGGATCGAATCTGAGACCACTAGGCTAGACCCCGTTCCATAGAATTTAAAAAATATCAATAACAATGATAGTGATGAATAATAATGCCATTCATATTCGAGTCTCTCTTTAAAAGCAAAACATTATGTGGCAACCTGGCTACGTATAAATATAGTAATTTGTAAACCGTAAAAACAAAAATAGGAATAATAATCTAAGGATTTATTTGAAACGTGAGATTTCCAATTAGGAATTTATAAGGATTCATTATGTTCATTGCATCATAATGAAAGTTTAAAAAAAAAAAAAAAATCTATGATATGGGGAGATAAGTGCTAATTAGATTAAGAAATTCTCACCACCTCAATGGGTTACAATTGTTAATTTGAATTTTTATGGGGAGATAATTTTAATTCTAAGTGTTATTCAACTACCTATTATCTTTTTTAATTCTAAAATAAATTTAATTTAAAAAAAAACCCCAAAAAAATAAATTCTAAAATAAAATAAATTTATGGAATTCAACCACAATCTCCCAAACTGTTCCCCATTTTTAATTTCAAATTTAATCTATTTGCAATTGGAAGAGCAAATTAATTTGAAATTAATAACACCAACAAGAAGAGGGAAAAAAATAAAGGAATACTGAGCATATATATAGAGAGATTTACAAATCTATCACTCTCTTCTTCCTAAGACCACAAAATTTGGGATTACATTAGCAGAAGTTTAATTGCCCCGGGTGTGTCTTTCCTTTTTTCTTTTTCTTTTTTTTAAAATTTTTTTTTTCTGGGTTAATTATCTGTCAAATATGATTTTCTTGAATAATGTTTTTGGTAAGATGCACTGGATTAAGCAATACAAAAAACTGGGTTTCCTTTTCTTTCTTTTTCTTTCCCTTTTTTTTTTGGTTATGAAAAAATTATTGGGGCTATATAGCCGTTGTTCTTTTGCTTTCCTCTCTAATTGAACGATTACCTAGTTGTTCAGGTAATACATAAACTAATATTTAGTTCATGATTTTTATTTTTATTTTTTATTTTTGGTTTAACCAAAACCTAGTGACTCTATGGATAGGAAATTAGGGTATCAAGGCCATCAGACCATTGTGAATGATGAAACAATTATATTTTGGAAACGTAAACAGGCAAATTTGTGAATATAGAAAGAGATGAAGTAGCAGAAGGGGAGGAGGAGTCATTATAACCGCAGTCTAAGCTGAAAGTCTTCTCAACACGCTGCACAACTCAATGTGAGATTCTAGGCATCGTAGTTTTAGCCATTGACCTTAAAGGAAACAAAGTGAAATCTCCTGATTACTTTCCCGACATTACCAAAAGTGGGAAATGAATTTTTCATTCCTATTCCTTGGGAAATGACATGGGAAATAATTTCCCTTTAAATCCATTCCGTGAACCAAACGGGGCCTAAGATTATGCACACGCATATTTGTATTGGAAAAAAAAAAAGAATTAGATAAAACTCAAGAAACGCAATGACTTGTTCAAACTCAGCAGCAAAAGATTGAGCATAAGAGTCAAGTTATGCAATGTGGAGAAGAGAAGCTAAAACCTACATATGTGGAGCTAAAAAATTGACAAAATGTACCCACATAATAACGCAGTTATATCCAATTATAACATCCCAAATTTTAAACAAACAAACAATGCTCTCAGAAATTACATGGGTACCGAATTTTGCAACAATGTCCAAAATCCCACGTGCAACATGATATGAATATACACAACCACATCTCAAAGTCAATAATAGAAAACAAAAGTCGAGTAAAAAAAAAACATGTTGATGTCTAAAATTGGATTCAACTTAGATAGAAGAAGTGTGGAGTCTTCAACATAACTAGGGGGCTGTGGACCTTGAATAAGGGGGATCTTCAAGGTCATCCTGCAGAAGAAGGATGGAATAAGCAATCGTCAAACTTCGGGTATTGATGTGGTATTTGCTAAAGGCTCTTCAACACTTAAGTCAGTAAGTGTGGGTTACACAGTAATTTTGACAGAGTAACAGTAAAGGTGAAAAGTAGTTACCTTTCTACCTGGACACTATTCCCCTTTTATAGATAAATTAAGGCGAGTATTTACACAAAGTTTCGATGTAGGACTTTGTGCAAATCAATGTGCTGGTAACACATGTCCAAAGCTTAGGCTATGTAGTTGAGAGCTTCAGCAATCGCCTTCGGCAAACTATTGCCATATTAGAGGGAGATGTCTTCAATAGCTGAGGTCATGTTGACGTTATCAATGTTTGGGGATTTTCCAGAAGTATCTTACCTTCGGCAGGCTGTGGGTCTGCTTATGGGTCAATCCCTCAGAACTGAATGTGCTCAGTAGATTATATTACAAGCACAACCTAATAAAGGAAATTTGTACATTGTTTGAACCACGTTTGTTGGCAAAAAATCATTTATGGCTTGAAAGTTAGTCCTCAAACCGCGTGTTGAGACCAATAGTTTGGATGTGATTGTCTTGTAGAATTTACAATAATAAATTAATAATCATCCAAAACAATGATAATTTCCAGCCAAATTCAAAGAAAACCAATTATTATCGTCCAAATAACACCAAATATGGGATGCAATCGATGAGAATGGATATAAGATCCTATGATTCTCTTCTATTCATCATAACGTATGTATGCTCTTTTCTTAACTCTCATTCACCGAAATTCCAAATAGTCCTTGATTCTTCTTCCTCACCGCATTCTCAACCAAATCTAGAAGAACCATAAATATCCAAAACACAAAGTGATCATGAGAGATGGGATCATCATCTTATAATTTGTAAACACAAACATTAACTTGCTTTGAATGAAGGAAAAGATTTAAATTTAGATTAAGAGGTGGTGGCGCTACTACAAGATAGGGCAGGCGATGTGGTCTTATGTGGCTATTAGTGGAAATACACCACGTGTACGCTTGTTTTGTTTAACCATGTGGTTACTGTGCTTTCATGTTTGTATGGCCTTCGTGACTGATGGTTTTTGTGCTTGATTACAATTATATTCTAAAAAAGAAATTTCTTTATTTCAAATGATTCCACTTGATTCAAATGACAAGGTTACATAGCTAGGTATTCACATGGTTTAATTCTAAAACATGAATCCCAAATACATATTGATCATTAATGTGTAAACGTGTGAACAAGCATGACCTTCGGAAACTTGACTGTACATGTCCATGAATTAAGAAAATTAATGAACCTTCAATTGAATTTGGTTTATTCATCAAACAAGTTTCACGTAAATTTGGTATTTACAATCCATTCTTTCTTCCTTTTTTTTTTTTTTTACCTTTTCTGTTGTGGTTAATATGCAAACTAATAACGAAAGAAAATCTCAATTAGTCATACTGGGATTTAGGAAAATCGAGGGTCTAAATCGAAAACGCATTAAACGTCTGAGGATATCAATGTTAACAACTGTCTAAATCGAAAATCGAGGGTTTATTTATACAGCTGTCTAACTAATTCACATCAATGTTAACAACTCACGTGCCTTGCACACCTAACTCACACCTGAATTAGACCAATACTCCAATGCCGGTTAAGACAACAGCACTTGCCAAAACTCCAGTGTGGAGAGACGTCCATCCCGTTTTCTGGGTTGTGGTTTGGTAAGATGACCCAAATCTATTACAAAGTTACAAATTTTAGTAGGAAATCTACTTCAATGATTTGGTGATGAGATGACTCAAATGAGAGAGCCACGCAGAGACCACCACCTGTCTCAAAGCCCCACATGTCACATTCTGGTGCACTCTTCACTTCTGTAGGTAGTAGACACGTGTCAGCATAAGCATCAACATACACTTCACGCCTCCTTCGCACATGAAACATCACAAACCACTCGTGCACAAAAATCGAGGTATTTGTATGAGATAGCTCTTTACAAGGCTGAATAATACATGAGCTTCACATTTAAGCCCAAACGTGGATCCCAAAATATAGAAAAATTCTATGCAATCCAAATTCTATAAAACAGCCCAGTTGGTCTATTCCATGGACTTACCAATACAAACAACCCTTGAAAATTGTAATTTAAAAAACAGCCACTGCAATAATATTATTAGATACCCAAACACAAATTTTCAACAATTTTTCAGCCACTTTGTTACAAAAATACCCATTACAAAACCAACAAAAAAACATGATATCTTATGCTTTTGGCCCTTGATTAGAACCCCCTTTGTCTGGATATCCATCTTTCATACAACTGCATCATATACAGTCCTTTGACACACTGCACTATTTGTATATATATCAACTTTTCAATAGAAATTTAATGCATTATTTTTTCGTTTAAAAAACTACTAGTAGATAAGGTGATTATAATAAATTTGTAATCTTTGTACACACTGTATGTCTCCATTTTTCTTTAAGTTGTAATATTAAATTTTAAACCCATACAGCTACAGTATGATGTTAAGGATATTCCTTTTTTATTTTTTAAAGTTACACACATACTTCACAGGGGTACCCTCACCATTCGGTGTA